TAGGAGGGAGGGAGAGCGCGAGACTTGTAAAAGAACTTGAAGTCTTTCAAAGAGCTTGACACCATGCTTGACCCAGGGATAAACTGGCCTGGTTAAAGCCATCACTGTAGCAGGGTCCCGATAGGGGAAAAATCGGGCACGTGTCTCGGATGCTGCCGGAGAACCCAGAGTAGGGCGGCCCACGCCCTCTGCACCGAGTCCGGATCTCTTCCTCTCACGGGAGCCCCAAGGTGCAGCCTCGTCACCTCAGAGCACCGAGGCCCAGTGGTGGACGAGGACTGGGGCGTGCCTGTGCCTGCCCCACCTCCTACCTCAGTTTCTGGCTTTCCGGGCCCGTTATGCCGCGGAGGAGGCCAGATCTCCAAGCGTGAAGCAGAGCGGTGATGAGACACGCCTGTCCCGGCAAGCTCGAGCCCAACTTCCGCAAGCTCGCGAGGCCCCGCCCCGGGCCCTGGGCGACCCCTAAGAGGTACCTGAGCTGCGACTCATTCGCTTCTCCCAGCCGGACGGCAGCTTCTCCTCGTCCGCCATCTTCCCTCCTGCCGCAGCGCCCGCTCCGCCTCCGCGGCTGTGACCCCGCGCCAGACCAGCGCTGCTGTTGATTGGCTCGTCCAATAGAGACGCCAATTGGACGGCAGCCCGGAGCCTCGAGCACTAGAGCTTTTTATTGGACTCTCCGGCCTCCTGGACCGCCCCTATACACACCCTCCCTCCTTTCCAACTCCACTGCTGATTGGTTCGTCTGGAAGCCACGCCTATTGGATGCTCCAACCGGGGAAGTGGCTTCCTTTAAGCATCAAAAGGGCTCTCTACCCTTCTTAGTGCGCTTAGCCCACAAAATAGAGCTTATTTGACTGGCTCCTGCGGCAGCCAATCCGGCCTTCTTCAGCCTGTCTCGGCGGTCCGCCAGCATCCACGCGGAAGTGGCCAGCTGGGACTAAGGTATTTGGTACTTTTGCAGTGCTTTGCTGTTGCCATAGCAATGCAGTTGCCTTGGTGACAAGAGGCTAACTAGCCTAAATTTGGCTTTTGAATTCTTCTTCCCACCTGTTTCCTCCAGATGTCCAAAGCGAAGCCAGTCCTTTTTGGTTTTACAAGGTGAACCATTTCACTGGTCTATTCACCCACCTTCCATGTCTTTTTTAGACCCTACTTCGGCTTATTCCTTCTCCGTGGGCTCCTCCTGGCTTCTAGGCAGGTGACTGATGGGTGAGACCATTACCACTAGGGAGAGGGTGGGTAGCTCCAACGATCGGTTTTAGTCAATTGGTAGTCTGAGGAAAAGGGTGTGTTAGTGTATACCTTCAATCCCAGTACTCAGGAGGCAAAGGCAGGCAGTTCGAGACCAGCCTGGTCTACAAAGTGAATTCCAGGACAGCCAGGGCTACACAGGAAACCATGTCTCAACAAGCAAACGAACAAACAAACAAAAGAAAAAAAGATCTAGCCGGGCGTTGGTGGTGGCGCACGCCTTTAATCCCAGCACTTGGGAGGCAGAGGCAGGCGGATTTCTGAGTTCCAGGACAGCCAGGTCTACATAGAGAGACCCTGTCCCGAAAAACCAGAAAAAAAAAAAAAGAAAGAAAGAAAAAAAGATCTGTGGAGGGCTAGAGAGATGGCTCAGTGGTTAAGAGCTTTTGCTACCAAGCCTGATGATTTGACACAGGAACATCTTTGTGACTTTGAAGCCAGCCTGGTTTATACAGTGAGTTCCAGGACACCCAGGGCTACACAGACAGACCCAGTCTTAAAAAAAAAGAAAAAAAGGTGGGGGAGAATAGCCCAGACCTAGTGTTCAAATCATAGTAGTAAAAAAATTACATGACAGATTTAATAAGGCTACTTCCTTATTTCAAGCCAGTACAGAAGTATAGAGACCAGATAAAAAGCTTCATTGCATTCTTCTTAGCCAGAAATACTCAATGCATTCACATAAGGTTCTATTACAAATGTTTATTTTTCTGGATGTGGTAGCATATGATTTTAGTCTCAGCACTGGGGAGGCAGAGACAGATGGATCTGTGAGTTTGAGGCCAGCCTGGTCTACAAAAGGAGTTTGAAGAGAGTTAGGGATGTTACACAGAGAAATCTTGATTCAACAAACAAACAAACAAACAAACAAACAATAGTTTATTTTATGCATGGTATGGTGGTCTTGCCTTTAGTCTCAGAGCTCAGGAGGTAGAGGTAGGAGGCAATCTGGGTTCAGTTCCAGCCAGATCTACATTCAAGTTTCAGAGTGGCCAGGGCTACATATAGAGAACCTGTTTCACAAACAATAACAACAAAATTCACCTCAAAACCAAATAATGTTTATTATTAACCTGAGTCATGGTTTGGTGCATACGTGGAGGTCAGAGGACAGCTCTGTTATGGGGTAAAGCCTGGAGACAACTCAACATGACCAAACTTCAAATTGATAGTCTGGATGGCAACTGCCTGGAAAGGAACATATCTCATAGAGCAGCCCCAAATGCTTATTACATGTAGTTTTTAAAAATAAAGAACACAGAAAAACTACATTTGGGGCAAGCCAGTAAGCAATTTAATAAAGAGCTAAGAACATGCAGTTATCTGGGGCATTTTTACCCTGAATTTGTAAAACAGGGTTGGGTGCTCTCCCATGGGACTTTTCAGGGCAAGGGGTAAAAACCAGAGATGGCTGTACCCGAGACAAGATGGAGAAGGTTTTACCCTGTTACAAGCTCTATGTAGTTGGTTCTCTCCTTCCAGCTGGGTTTCAGGGCTGGAACTTAGGTCTTAAGGTTCAGGAAGAAGCATCTTTATACCAGCCCAGCTTTTCTATTGTTTTCTTAAAAAAAAAAAAAAAAAAAAAAAAAAAAGACTATGCAGCTTAGAGAGATGTCTCAGTGGGTTGATACACAATTGTGGAGTCCTGAGTCTAAATGTGAAGAACCCACATAAAGCTGGATGCAGTAACAAACAGGCATCAGCAACTCGATTTCCACATCCAGAAGGAGACAGTGACAGCCGAAGTCCTCAAAACTCCTGTGTTGACTTATCTTGGTTGTCAACTTGACCACATCTGGAATTAACTAAGAAAGCAGTGGGGACTCACCTGCAAGGGATTTTTCTCGGTTGGATTATTTGAAGTGAAAGACTCACCATAAATCTAGGTCATCTGAGGGCAGAAACCTACCCCTTAAATCTGGGCCACACGTTCTGGTGGCAGCCCACATGAAAGGGCATGGAAGAAGGAAGCTGTTGCTCTTTGTCTATTTGCCTTCACTCTCACTGGTGGTAGTGTCTACTTCATGGGACTCCAACATAGACTGGAAACTGACAGCTCTCTAGATCTTCTCTGGGCCTCTAGTACCAACTGGGACTGCTGAGACATTCAGTGAACCAGACAACCACCAGATCCTTGACCTTTCTTTCCCTCCAGGAGCTGGCCATTGTTGGACTACTCAAACCAAAGTCTGTAAGCCACTTGAATAAATCTCATATAAAATATTCATCCACCAGTTAATAAAAGCTAAGAACATGCGGTTATCTGGGGCTTTTATCCCATTCTACTGTTCCTTTAGAGCTTTGATTAATATGGCTACTGAACCAGGTAGCCTCAAGTACAAGTAGCAAAAACAAAGACACCATGTCCCAAACAAGATAGAGGGCTAGAACTGACAACCAAGGTAGTCCTCTGACTTCCATAAGCAGCCCACGGCATAGTGCACACATAAGCTCAAACATGCACACTAAAATAAAAGCTAAGCCAGCTCAGTAGTACAACCAGCTTAGACTGTGCAAGGCTTTGGGTTTGAGCTCAGCATTGAAAAGAAAAACCCACAAGAGTACTGTGCCAATATATATTTATAGAGCCAATGAGGTAGTTCATTGGGTAAGAGTGTGTCCTGAGTGAGTTCCAGGACAGCCAAGACTACACAGAGAAACCCTGTCTCAAAAAATAAAAAAAAAACAAAAAAAACAAAACAAAACCAAAAAAAGGATCTCATTATGTGGCTCATTGTGTTTTGGACTGCTGTAACAAAATATCCAATAAAAGCAATTTTAGTACTTTACCACTTTTGAAACAAGGTTTCTTTGCTTAGTTTGGTCTCAAACTTAAGATCCTCCTACTTGTCCACCCAAGTTTATTTTGTTTACAAGGATATATGTGTATCTCTGTTTCTGTGTGTGCTGAAGTATGGGTGTTAGAGCTGGGTGGTGGTGGCACACGCCTATAATCCCAGCAATTAGGAGGCAGAGGCAGGCGATTTCTGAGTTCGAGGCCTGCCTGGTCTACATAGTGAGTTCCAGGACAGCCAGGGCTATACAGAGAAACCCTGTCTTGAAAAACCAAAAAAAAAAAAAGTAGTAGTAGTAGTATGGGTGTTAGAGGACAACCTTGAGTTGGAACACAATCTACCTCCTTTTATGCAGTCATTAGCCTAAAGCTTACCAATTAAGCTAGACTGGCTAGCAAGGCCACTGACGATCTCGTCTTTACCTGTCCAATGATGAGACTAAGTGTACACCTGCACATCCAGCATTTTTACATGGGCTCTAGGGATCAAACTCAGGTTCTCATGCTTGTAGGGCAAACCGTCTACGTATCTCCCCACTAAACCAAAAAATACTCTTCAGAAATTACTGATCCTCTGGAAACAAAGACAGCCTTACTTTCCTTTTCCAAACTTGGGCCGCACTGTGAAGGGTAGATGGAAATAATGCATGGGCACATCCACAGCTCCTGGCAATTTTTTAAGAGCAAAAATGAGACCATGGTGGTACAGGCCCTTTTCAATCTCAGCACTTGCGAAGTGGAGGCAAGAGTCAAGATCATTGATGGTACACAGCCAGTTCAAGGATATCCTGGTCTACAGGAGACTTTCAAGACAAAAATTTTCCAACTGTTGAGATGCCAGGTGTGCACCACTAGGCCCAGCTTCCAGTCAATCTTGAGCTTCCCTCAATGAGCAGTAGTATACCTAACTACCAGACACCGGCTCTCCCCTCAGGACACAACTCTCACACAAGCATCACAGCAGCAAAGCAGCAGCAAAGTCTTTATTCATGTGAACTGTTAAAAATGGCCATCTATACCAGTGTCAAATGAGGGTGGGAGAGGAAGGCAGGGCAGAGCAGGGCAAGGAGGAGGAAGGAATTCCCCTCTACTGGTAATAAAGCTCCAGGTTCATCCCATCGTGGATTTCATCTGAAGGTCAAGTGTTAAGGAACTTTCACTGAGAGCTGGCTCTACCTTCCATCTACTCACAGCTGGATCTTGTGGCTCAACGTCCAACCCTAAATTAGGGAACGGACTTTCTGATCTAAGAACTCAATAATATTCAGTGGTCCGTAAGACCACTGAGAAGGCCAAGATGTTTGCCAAAGCCTGGTATACAGAGTCAGATCCCCAAGCACACCCCCACCCCATCTCACACACACACACACACACACACACACACACACACACACAGAACAATACATTTTCTTAAATGTTCACGCTCAGGCTGGAGATAGGGCTGCTCTTCCAGAGACCTGGCTTTAAGTCCCAGAATGCGTGTGGTGGTTCCAGGGAATCTGAAGCTTTCTTCTGGTCTCTGCTGGCAGCAGACATGCATGAGGTGCACAGACATAACTGCAGGCAAAAGATCCAGACCCCCCGTCCCCAAATCTCACACACACACACACACACACACACACACACCTACAGTCACACTCCACCTTCACCTTCTGTCCAACACTCAGGTTGGCATTCAGTAATAAGTATTTTGAACTTGAATGTCAAAATCCTTCGGAGCCAAGTTAAATTATTTCACCGACCACCCTCTTCACCAACAAAATAATTCCACAAGTTTCCATTTTCTCAGTAGTCACATTAGGACACATTCGAAGTTAAACATCCCTCTTGCTTAATTTCTGTACAGGTTTCAGTATAGAACCAGAACTCGAGATAAATACGTGGAATCTTTCATGAATGTTAGAAAAAGGATACAATCTCCCAGAGACACGTGGTCCTTAAAAATCGTGTACCTACGGGATAGATAGCTTTCAGAGAGAAGCTGAAAGGGGTGGAGTGTCTTTTGTCCTGAAAACAAGCTGAGCCCTTCTTCGGGGTTGCCCGAGGTGCTAGCCCTAACCGAAACCTTCTAGCCTAATATTGACCAGCGCGTACTTACCACTTTTTAAGAACGATCTTATTCCAGCGGGTGCCAGTTTGAGCGGCTATCAGTTTCTTCAAGTCGCCGATGGTGTCATCGGTGCTGGGCACGAAGGAGTTAAGGTAAATGAAAGGAAAAGGTAGACCGAGGAAGCCGATAACAGGCCTCCCGGTAAGCGTCATTTAAGTGAAATCATCCAACACCACCATCTGCCCCAGAGACCACTGGCAGTCACCCCTCGGTGGATACTTGCACTTAACGCGGACTTTCTTTCCCAGACGGTCGTTGCAAACCACCTCAATCATTGTGGCTGGAGCTACACCGGGTGGAGAGAAGCATGAAAAGGAGCAGAGTCAGGCCTTTCGGGGTCGTCCAGGTTCTCAAAGCCCCTTCCTCGGTTAAGTTCTCTGGTCAACATTTCCCCGAACACCGGACTCAAACCCCTGCAGCCCCAGTCTACAGTTTCAATTGCAGGGACCACAGACAGTCACGACTCCACCCCTTAACTGCGGCAGGCCCAGGCCCAGACTCACCCGGCTTTGCCTCCCGCAACCCCTAGGCTCCCAACTCTCGGCAGCTTCTCGTGACCTCGGGCCTCTCCGCTTAGCCTTCTCACCTCAAAAATCCTCGAACCTATCGACGACACAACTTGTAGCTCGAACGCTGAACCCTGGCCGGATTTAAGGATGGAAACAGGAAGCGGAAGTGATATAACGGAACCACCGGCCCTTAGATGCTCCGGGTTCCGGGCTAGCAAAGATTGCGATTCTGTTGCGCAGTCTGCATGAGCTGAGACTAGCTAAGAGTGGATTTACAGCCGACGTTGGAACTAGTGTTGGAGACTCCTTCATCGTGGCAGAAACCTAAAGGGTCCCAGCGGCGGGGTGATCGACCTTTCCCAAGCCAGCCTGACAAGCCTCCTACCGCACAATCCCGGCTGCAGGTGTACGGAAATGGAGTCATGCAGGGCCTGTGGCTTTCTTTCATTCAAAGCTCAGCCTCAAACCCTGTGCTTGCCTTTCCCCTCTGACCGTAGTGACCGTTTCAGAGGCTGCAGGGGTGCAGACTGCAGTTGATGAAAACTAAGTCGGATCCTGGACGGGAGGCCATGTTGCGTGCCACTCCGCCTGTCTGTGCCCTGCCTGCAAAGATGTTGGAAACAGCATACGGGGAAAGATCTTTTGCTTTGGTTTTTAATCTTCAATGAACACCTGTTCCAGATTACAGAATCGCGAGAGCTGATGGGAGAGGAATCTCTTCTTAAATTCAACCAGTTTCACCTTTATTGAGCGATTCCTTCTTAACAGACAGGACTCTTAGCAAGGTAAGCATATATTGACTCGAGAAAAAGAAAAGTCTACCCAGGGCCTTGTGCTTACCTAATACGACTTGTGCTTACCTAATACAAAATTTAATCTTATGCGTAGATAGGAGAAGGCATTCTAGCTTTCTTTTGCGGCTGTGGCCACGCCTCCCTGGCTTGGCAGTCCTGCTGTCTCCTCACCCCCACCCTAGTCACATCTTTCAGTTTCGAATGAAGTTCTGTTCCGCATCTTTAGTGCTTAGATCTGTTCCAATCTCTCCCCAATGCCTTGTTTCCGTTCCGAAAAGACTTCCCAGGGTCTACCCGACTCCCATATTGGCGAGTGAGCCATCGGCCATAGTATCCGGGCATACATACAAGAAAAGTTGTGGGGTTTTGTTTTTCTTGTTTTGTTTTTTGGTATTTGTTTTAGTGTTGGAGGTCGAACCTAGGGCCTTCTAGCATGCTAGCAGCCAAGGGCTCTCCCACTTAGCTGCACACCCAGCTCCTGGTTTAGCTCCTGTTTCTCCAGCGATACTTTTAGAGCCCCGTCCTAAAAGCTCTTAACTATTCCTATAGTCCTAAATCCCCCAGCCGCCCCCTTTACCGCCCGCCCATTCTAAACTTGATCCCATCCCCTATATCAGACCTTGTTCCGCCTAATCTAAGTTTTACAAGTTTGGTCTTCAGGTTCAGCTAGAACCCCTGGTTCTTGAGCCCGTTCCCACACAAGTCATGGTTTATGGTTTTGCTGCTCTGTTAACTTTCCCTGCTCAAGTCATGCCTTCTGGGAATACGGTCTGGTCCAAGGCTGTTCTCTGCCTTGGCAACAACCCTAAACCTTTCCCAGCCCAAGCCAAACCTTTTACGCACGCCACTAGCCTAGAAACGCCCCTAGTCTCTTCCTACTGAAGCCACGCCTTCCCATTGTTGCGGACGGCCTCCAATCGGCTCCTCTGCCCCTGGCCACACCCCCCACTCGGCGGCGCTACTTCAAATGCTAGTACTTTGGCCTCGCTCGCAACACAGTTGCTCTTCGTCTCTTTCCCTCTCTCCCAGAGTCCCGCCTAGGGACTTTTCTGCTTTTCCCCAGCCCCTGGGCCCCCTGGTCACGGCCCAGGACCACGCCCAGCCCGTTGGAGCCACGCCTTCTAGGCGTGTGCCTTTCCTCAGCCCGGCCTGCAAGGCGTCTACCTGCCTCAGCTCGCCACGTCTCCGGGCTCTGGCTACGCCCCGAGCCCTGTCTTGCCAGAGTCACGCCTTCTGGGTTGTCTGCTGACCCTTCCGGGTCTGCTGCTTATACTTAGCTCCACCTCATGGCCACGCCCCCGGGGCGTTCCTCACCCCCCAGCCTTCTGGGTTTGCTGTTCGTCTTCCCTCCCGGCCCTGGCCACGCCTCATGCCCCCTCCTCTCCTCAGCCACATCTAGGTTTTCCTATTCCCAGTTCCTCCCGTTGGCCAAGCCGGTCAGGCCTAGTCAGTCTCTAGTCTTGGCCTCCAAACGGTCGTCAGACCGCGCCAGTCCAGTTCCGGGGCCTCAGGCACTTTTCTAGGAAGTTAAGGACCCTCGGCAGGCTTAGGAAAGTCGTGCCGGTTCGGCCAGTCCGGCCACCTCAGCGCCCTCGGGGGAGTGCGGCCTTGCCACCACCGGAAACGGAAGCACACGACGGCCGGACCATGGCGACGCTGTTTGACCTCCCAGACTTGGTGCTCTTGGAGATCTTCTCTTACCTCCCTGTCCGGGACCGGATCCGCATCTCCAGGTGCAGCCCGGTTCCTCAGGGGAAGAGCCGGGCATGGGCTCGGCAGGAGATGCGGATCCGGTCCCAGCAGGCCGGGGTCGTTCTAACGGCCGGTCCACTCCTCCAGGGTCTGTCACCGCTGGAAGAGGCTAGTGGATGACCGGTGGCTATGGCGACACGTCGACTTGACGCTCTACACGGTACGCGGGACCCTGGAGCGGTTCGGGGAGAGCCACCCTCCTGCCCTGGGACGGAAGGGGGGGTGTTTTGTTTTGCTTTCTAGTGTTTGCTTGCTGATGGTTTTATTTATTTATTTTTGACAGTTTCTTGAGGCTTTTATTTTGTTGGTGGTGTTTCTTTGGGGGCGGGGGAGGTTTTCTTTTGCGACAGGGTCTCTAGCCCAGACTGGCTTCCGGCTTCCTATGAAGCTGAGGTTCAGTTTGAGTTTCTTTTTTTATTTATTGGATATTTTCTTTATTTACATTTCAAATGTTATTCCCTTTCTTGGTTTCCCCTCCAGAAACTCCCTATCCCATTCTCCCTCCCCCTGCTTCTATGAGGGTGTTCCCTCACCCACTTCCACCTCACCACCCTGGCATTCCCCTACACTGGGGCATTGAGCCTTCAAAGGACCAAGGGCCTCTCCTCCCATTGATATCAGATAAGGCCATCCCCTGCTACATATGAGACTGGAGCCATGGGTCCCTCCATGTGTACTCTTTGGTTGGTGGTTTAGTCCCTGGGAGCTCTGGGGGATCTGGCTGGTTGATACTGTTCTTCCTATGGGGTTGCAAACCCCTTCAGCTCCTTCAGTCCTTTCTCTAACTCCTCCACTGGGGGCCCCTTGCTCAGTCCAATGGTTGGCTGGGAGCATCTGCCTTTCTATTTGTCAGGCTCTTTCGGAACCTCTCAGGAGACAGCCATATCAGGCTCCTGTCAGCACTTCTTGGGATCCACAATAGTGTCTGGATTTGGTGTCTGTATATGGGATGGATCCCAGGTGGGGCAGTCTCTGGATGGCCTTTCCTTCAGTCTCTGCTCCACACTTTGTCTCCATATTTCCTCCTGTGAGTATTTTGTTCCCCTTCTAAGAAGGACTGAAGCATCCACACTTTGGTCTTCCTTCTTCTTGAGCTTCATGTGGTCTGTGAATTGTACTTGGGTATTCCAAGTTTTGGGGCTAGAGAGATGGCCCAGAGGTTAAGAGCACTGACCTCTCTTCCAGAGACCCTGAGCTTGAATTTCTAATCTACCTCTGCCTTCTAAATATTGGACTTACCAGCATGGGCCCCCATGCCTTGTTTCTGTGTTACTGGGAATGGAATTTAGGTTTCTTGGATGCTAGGAAGGCACTCTTCTGACTGAATCATGTACTGGTTTCCAACTAACCACCCACTGCTTCAATCTCCTGAGTGCTGAAATTACAGCTGTAGGCCACTGTGACCTAGAAGTATTTGCGTTTTGTTTGTTTTTCTTGAGGCAAAATTTCTCTGTAGCCCTGGGTGACCTGGAACTCTGCTTCTCTAGTGCTGGGACTAAGGGTGTGCACCACCATGCCCTGCTGGTTTGGTTTTTAAGTGCATTCGTGCTTGGAATTTTCTGCATGTCTATCCTAGCACCAGCCTTTACCTCTTCCTCTGCAACTATCAGACCTCAGTTTCTCATCCAAGATAGGGGGATTTAACATAGTGCTTGTGGAGCTATTGGTGGTACAGTGTTTGACTCTGGTGAAGCCCTGGGCTCCATCTCTAGCACCAAGAAAAAAAAAGTACTTTCTGTCTGGTGTATTTTATGACTTAGCCAGTTGCATAGGGAGATGATTTAGACCAGTGTGTGATCTCCAGCATTTAATAAATGTAAGCTTATAACTTTTGAGTTTTTCTGGTTTTGTTGTTTTGATTCTTGAGATGGGTCTCAGGTATCTCAAAATAGCTTCCAGCAGGCTATGTAACCAAGGATGACAGAAGGTTCTGCTCCTCTTGCCTTTTCCTCTTGTATGCTGGTGTAATCACGGGTATGTGCCATCACATAGTTCATGTGGTGCTGAGAACCAAATCCACGCTTGTGTTTGCTAGGCAAGCACTTACCTAACCCAGCCACATTCCCAACCTCTACTTTGTGGTCTTTTGAAACAGCATCTGTCAGTGCAAAAATATAACTGTCACCTCAGTGTGGATAAGAGTTTACTCTGGAGCCAGATATGAGTGACCATGTACCAAGAATACAGAATTAGGTTTTCTCAAATATATGTTTACATATAACAATTCCATGAAAACATTTTCTACATTATTATTATTATTATTATTATTATTGAGACAAGGTTTCTCTGTGCGGCTCTGGCTGGCCTGGAGCTCAGTCTGTAGACCAGGTAGCCTTTGAACTCATGAGTTCCACCTGCGTCTGCCTTCAAGTGCTGGGGCTAATGGTGTGTGTGCACTAACTCTGTCCAGCAAAATTTTATAGTAATAGACTAGAGAAAGCCGTAATTTAAGACACCTTTCAAAAGAGCTAGCCATTTCTCTAGCAACTACACAGAATATTTTTTAAAAAGATTTATTTTCTTTGTCAAAAAGTGGTCAAAATTTTTTATACCATAAGACTGGGCCTAGTACAGGCTTGTTACTACAGAGGTTGAGGGAGGAAGGTCATAAATTCAAGGCCAGCCTGGGTAATTTAGCTCGGCCCTGCCTTTAAATACAAATAAAGGAAAGGCCCAGAACTGTGACTTGGTTCTAGAATGTTTTCCTGGCCTGTGTGAGGCCCTGGGTTCATTGCCCAGTGTCTTCAGAAATAAGAGGATGCTATGAACTGAGGTATAGCTGAGTTCACAGCATGTCCTTAAAGTACATGGAGTCTTAGATTCCATCCCAACGTAAGCAATGAATCGCTTGTTCTACCCAGCTGTTTCCCCTTCTCTTTGGGGTAAAGTGTACATACAATGAAATGCACCGTACTGTCTTGTTGATTGCATAGTTTATTTTTGTGTGCATGCACCTACATGTACATGTTTGTGTATGCATGAGTCCAAATGCATATGTGTACAAGAGCACAGAGAGGCCACAGGTCAGTTTAGGGTATCTTCCTCAGGTAGATTTCCCCCCCCCATCTTCCCATCTTCTCTCTCTCTTTCTCTTACACACATACACATACACACACACACACACACACACACACGTTTGTACCCGTATATGTACATGTAAATTTTTTTGTTTTGTTTGAAACAGGATCTCATTATGTAACCTAAATTTGCTGTGTAGACCAGGCTAGCCTGGGATTTAGAGAGATCCCCTTGTTTATGTGCTGTTCCCCACCCAACCCAAAGGTGTGCACCACAATCTCGGACTGCCATGTTTGTTTTTGAGACACGGTCTTCCACTGAACTTGGAGCTTTCCAGTTGACTAGGCAGGCTGGCCAGAACTCTGGATCCTCCTTCCTGCCTCAACCTTCGCTGTGTGCTGGCAGGGATTAAGGACATGAGTCTTGATACCCAGCAAAAGAAACTGCTTTGCTCTAGGGAAGGAAGCTCATAGAAGAGCAGAATCCCAGGGAAACACCAGAACCCAGATCCCAGGCATGTCTGTCACCAGTTAGATGGATCTTCTGGGAGCCCCCATACCTCTCCTCCAGTCACCCCAATCTCTGGCTCTTGCAGATGCGGCCGAAAGTCATGTGGCACCTCCTGCGCCGGTACATGGCATCCCGGCTCCACTCGTTGCGCATGGGCGGCTACCTGTTCTCTGGCTCTCAGGCCCCACAGCTGTCCCCGGCCTTGATGCGGGCCCTGGGCCAGAAATGCCCCAACCTGAAGCGCCTGTGCCTGCACGTGGCTGACCTGAGCATGGTGCCTATCACTAGCCTGCCTTGCACACTGAGGACCCTGGAGCTGCACAGCTGCGAGATCTCGATGATCTGGTTGCAGAAGGAGCAGGACCCCACAGTGCTGCCACTGCTGGAATGCATCGTGCTAGACCGAGTACCAGCCTTCCGCGATGAGCACCTGCAGGGCCTTACCCGCTTCCGAGCCCTGCGCTCGCTGGTGCTGGGTGGCACTTACCGGGTCACTGAGACCGGGCTAGATGCCAGCCTGCAGGAGCTCAGCTACCTGCAAAGGCTGGAGGTGCTGGGCTGCACCCTGTCGGCCGACAGCACCCTGCTGGCCATCAGCCGCCACCTCCGAGATGTGCGCAAGATTCGGCTGACCGTTGGGGGCCTGTCAGCCCAGGGCCTAGTCTTCCTGGAGGGAATGCCTGTCCTGGAGAGTTTGTGCTTCCAGGGTCCCCTTATCACCCCAGAAATGCCCACACCCGCTCAGATTGTGTCCTCCTGCCTCACCATGCCTAAGCTCAGAGTGCTTGAGGTGCAAGGGCTGGGCTGGGAGGGCCAGGACGCAGAGAAGGTCCTGTGCAGGGGCCTGCCCCACTGCATAGTTATCGTCAGGGCTTGTCCCAAAGAATCCATGGATTGGTGGATGTGAGGGCATCACCCATCCATCTCTGGAACCTAGCCTAGCTCTGAAAGTGACCTTCCAAGCAAACTGAATCCTGTAAATTAATCAGGCATGAGGGACCTGGAGGGCTCAAGGAGAGGAAGCTAGGACCTTGGGGCTTCCTGAGCTGGGCTTGTCTGTAATCTGGGTGACCTCAGACTTGTCATCCAGCCTCTGGAAGGCCCAGTTCACACATTTAGGAATATGCATCATAGCTACCTCATGATTCATTTTTAAATCTTTACCATCTCTCCCTGCCCCCCCCCTTTTTTTCCCAATACCTGAGATCAAAACCATGGCCTTAGGTATGTTAGACAAGCATTGTTGTGTGCCTGAGCTACACTGGAGCCCTGGGAAGCCTTAACAAACCCAGAAGACCCTTATCGAGGGCTCATCTTCAGGAAAGGTCAGGAGCAGGTCAACGTGTTCAGGGCTCTGAGGTCGGCCTGGTTTTCTACCTACATGGTTGAGAGACATGGAGGTCAGGGGCAGGGGAGCCATGCTGTTCGAGTTTTCTAAGAGGTTCTCAATCATTTACTGTATTTTGTATCCTGCCTTTTTCAAGTTTTCTACAGCATATAATATTTTACTATTAAAGAAAGAGAATGTTTTTCAAAGTGTGTTGCACTCATTTAACAAGGGTTGTTCCTCCCCAGCACACGTTATTCACAGGCAGTTTTTAGTATTTATTTACTTATCCTTTGTATTACATTTATTCATTTTGTGTTTGTGTGTGTGTGCACCCACTAAAGCTCATGTGTGGAGGCTAGAGGACAGCTGTGGGCGTCAGGTCTTTCTATCCTATGGATCTTGGGGAATCAAACTTTAGTGGTCAGGCTTGGTGACAAGTGCCTGTACCCACTGAGCCATCTTGCCAAGCTGTTTATTATTTCTTAGATGGGCGCTTCATGTAGTAATCTTCAAATATATTGGAAGTTGAGGATAACTTTGAACTCCTAATTGTCCTGCCTCTGGCTACCAAGTGCTAGAGTTTCTGATGTACACCACCTCTCCTTCCTTATGGGATGCTAAGGATGGCTTTGAGCACACCAAGCAAATGCTCTACCCCTGAGCCACCTACCAGGCCCTCCCAGGCACCTTTCTAGGTACCTAGCTGCACAGTGAACAAAGGGAAGACCCTGCAGCTCCAAGTGTAGATGGTAGGGGACTAAAGAGGTAAGCATATTTGTGAACCAGACACGGCACAGACCTGGTCAGTACCCAGGAGGTGAAGGAGTCTCAAGTTTATAGTCAGCCTGGGCTACAGTAGAGTGAGACCCCATTTCCAAAACAAAAACACATCCCTGGGATCATTTCAGAGCCTCTTAGGTGGTGAACTGAGGTGTTTTTTTTTTGTTGTTGTTTTTTTGTTTTTTTTGTTTTTTTGGTTTTTCGAGACAGGGTTTCTCTGTATAGCCCTGGCTGTCCTGGAACTCACTCTGTAGACCAGGCTGGCCTCAAACTCAGAAATCCGCCTGCCTCTGCCTCCCAAGTGCTGGGATTAAAGGCGTGCGCCCAGCCAAGCTGAGGGTTATTACAGGTATATAGACACTTGGGAAGGTGGGCCTCCTCAGAAGTCTGAGAGGTGAAGAGACAATGTGAGGACAGCTAGGGGGTGACAGGAAGGTCTAAGACTTGATGAGGTCCCAGCATGTGGATCAGTGTCAAAACCCTTCTCTTGAACACTTAAGGTTCTGTTCTTGGTACTAGAAAACCAAAATAAGGGGCTGCTGAGATGACTCAGAGGGTGAAGGTGCTTTCTGTCAAGTCTGAATGGAGCTTCATCCCCATGGTCAACAGAGAGCTGACGCCTGAAAATTATTCTTTGACCTCCATACATGTCCTGTGGCATGAGTGGATGGATGCCTGCATTTGTGCACTAGAAGGCATGCGTGTACAAACACACACACACACACACACACACACACACACACACACACACCAAAAAGACCCTGAGGAATGAATTAGGCATTTCCAGAAGCATTTCTGTAGCAATGTGAACAAAGGAGAAAGATGGAGCCGGTTGGGTCAGAGAGATGGAGGCAGGGCCTGGTGTTGGGGTTCAGTGTGAACTGGTGCCTCTTCCTGTTTTGAATGGGAACAGTTTGATCATGCAGGTGCCAGATGCTTAGCGATACTGGCTGAGTGGATCACTTTGATCTGAGCCGGGGGTTGGGGGGCAGTGCACATCTGTGGTCTCTCCACCTGCTGTGGGTGGACCCCCCCCAGGGGGGTGTGCACATTGCCGAGCTGGAAATGCTCAGTTCCTTATTTCAGGTTTACCCGTCAGAAGGGATGTTTCTTGTCTTAGAATACAAAGCTTTCATGTGAGCCTTCAAAGGGACTTCAGAGCCGCTTAGGTGACCAATTCACATGGGACATGACATTTTTTTATTTCTACCACATGGAACTTTAAGGGACATATTCCTCCTAAGGCTATCTGCTGAAACTTTAAACCTAGAGGTAATTACATTAGATGTAAGTGTTAGGAGGGATAGGGCAAAAGGGCAGGGCCCTCATGAATGAGATCAATGTTCCCCTCCCCCATTAATACTTCTGAGTGGGCCTGGGGACCTGGGTCTGTGGAAGAGCACTTGCACAAGCATTAGGTCCTGGGTTCAAATCTTTAGCACCCTCAGAGAAAGCCAGGTGAGGCTATGCCTTGGCCCCAGCACTGTGCGTGGTGGACACTAGGAGATTGTAGGTCTTGGTGGCTGCTAGCCTAGCTCCTGTTTCCACGAGAGACCTGATTGGTCTGAAGGGAATAGGTCAGAAAGTGACAGAGCAGCATGTCTCAACATGTCTCCGCATGTGCACATGGATGCAATCCTCCACACATAATTAAAATTTGCTTCCAAGACCCTTTCGGATCCAATTATGTGACCCTCTGAGGACACAGGAATGACATATAACCTGAGATGTCTTCAGCACTACCACACTTACAGCTTGATCTTAGACTCTGAAGCTTCCACGATTGTTACTAATACATTTCTGGGGTTGGTTGGAGAGGGGTGGGGTGGTCTGTAAGTGCAGCCATGCATGTGACAGTCAAAGGCCAACGTTTAGAAGTCTGTTCTATCCTTCCACTGTGGCTTCCTAGGACCAAACCCAGGTGGTCAAGCTTGTGGAGCACCCACTGATCCCTCTTAGTTTAATTTTTCTGAGACAAGGTCTCTCGATGTTGCCCTGACTGTTGTGGAACTCACTATGATTCTCAACCTTCTTAGTGCACAACCCATTAATACCGTTTCTCATGTTCTGGTAACCTCCAATTATAAAATTATTTTTGTTGCTACTTCATGACTATAATATTACTACTGATATGAATTGTAATGTAAATATCTCATTTCTAATGGTCTTAGATAACCCCTGTGAAAGGGTTATTTGACCCCCAAAGGAGTTGAGAACTATAGATTGAGAACCACTGATGTAGGCCAAGCTGACCTTGAACTTGTGGTGTTCTTGATTCTGCTTCCCCTGTGCTGGGATTAAAGGTATGTGCCACTATGCATGACCAATATTTATTTTCTTTGTAAGTGTGTGTGTGTGTGTGTGTGTGTGTGTGTGTGTGTGTGTGTGTGTGTTTAGTCACACGGGCCACAATACCACATGTGGAGGTTGGAGGACCACTTACGTAAGCCAGTGCTCTCCTTTCAGCCTGTGGGTTCTGAGGTTTAACTTGAGCATCAGTCTTGGTGGCAGGTGCCTTTACCTACTGGGCCATCTCCCTGCCTGACCTCAGCAGTTCTAGTTTCCCAGAGAGCTCTGTGCAGTTGTGTCACTCATCTGCTTCATGCCTGTTTTGTTTTGTTTTGTTTTTTATGAGACAGGATCTCACTGTGGAGCTCTGGCTGTGCACTTGATACTTTTACTGCTTTCTGTCCTACTTGACTTACTCAAACCCTAAACCTTTACACTGAGTACAGAGGGGAACTCATCTCTTGCCTCTGGGCCTTGAAATTCGTATTTTTTTTCTTTCTCAACTCTTTCAGCATTTTGCTATGATGAAGTGGAGAGGTCTGCAGCTGTACGGTAGGTCCTGGAGACATAGCTCCAAGCTCCAAGCAATATAATATCTAACAAAATAAACTTCCAACCAAAATTAATCAAAAGAGACTGGAAAGGACACTTCATACTCATCAAAGGAAAATCCACCAAGATGGTGTCTAAATTCTGATCATCTATGCCTGAAACACAAGGACACCTATATTAGTAAACATTTCTAAAGCCTAAATCACATGTTGAGCCCCACACATTAATAGTAGGAGACTTCAACACCCGACTCATCATCCAGACAAAAACTAAACAGAAATGTTACCAACAGCTGTTAGTATGACTCAAATTCTATATGTCTACAGAACATTTCATCCAAACATAAAAGAATATACACTCTTCTCAGCACCTCATGGAACCTTCTCCAAAACTTTCTCCAAAATACTCTGTTACAAAGCAAGTCTAACAGATACAAGAAAATTGAAATAACCCCCTGCATCCTCTTAGACCACCATAGAGTAAAGGTGGATTTCAACAACAAGAACAGAGACAACAGAAATCCTACAAACTCATGGAAACTGAATAACTGTCTACTGAATAACCACTGGATCAAGGCAAAAATAATAAATAAAAAAGACTTTCTAGAATTCAATGAAAACAGGCCAATGATAACATACCCAAACTTATGGGATATAATGAAACCAGTGCTAAAAGGAAAGATCATTGCACTAAGGGCCTTCATAAAGAAAATAGAGAATCTCATTCTAGCAACTTCACAGCATAGCTGAAAGTGCTAGAACAATGATTTAGGTTCACCCAAGAGGAGTAGGTGGCAGGAAATTATCCAACTCAGGGCTGAAATCAATAAAATAGAAGTGAAGAGAATGATACAAAGAACCAGTGAAGCAAAGAGTTGATTCTTTGAGAAAATTAGCAAGATAGACAAACCCTATCTAACTAACTAACTAAAAGACAAAGAGAGAAAATCCAAATTAACAAAATCAGAAACAAAAAAGGGGACATAACTACAGACACCAAGGAAACCCAAAGAATCAGTAGGTCATACTTCAAAAACCTGTGCTCCACAAAATTGGAAATCTAAAAGAAATGGGCAATTTTCTTGATAGATATCACTTACCTAAGTTAAATCAAGATTGGATAAAGAATTTAACTCAAGAAAACAGAACCAGTCAGTAAAAGTGTCCCAACCGAAAAAAAAAAAGCCCAGGGCCAAATGGTTTTAGTGCAGAGTTCTACCCGACTTTTTTTTTTTTTTCCTTTGTTTTTTTGAGACAGGGTTTCTCTGTGTAGTCCTGGCTGTCCTAGAACTCACTCTGTAGACCAGGCTGGCCTCAAACTCAGAAATCCACCTGCCTCTGCCTCCCAAGTGCTGGGATTAAAGGCGTGCACCACCATTGCCTGGCGTCTACCTGACTTTTTTTTTTTTTAACTTAATTATTTATTTCATGTTTGTGAGTACACTGTAGCTCTCTTCAGACACACCAGAAGAGGGCATCAGATCCCATTACAGATGGTTGTGAGCCACCATGTGGTTGCTGGGAATTGAACTCAGGACCTTTGTAAGAGCAGTCAGTGCTCTTAACCACTGAGCCATCTCTCCAGC